GAGGGTGCCCGAGCCCTGGCCCAGGCTGCCCAGGGGGGCTGTGGAGTCTCCTTCTCTGGAGATCTTCAACCCCCGCCTGGACGCTGTCCTGTGCCCCCTGCTCTGGGTGAGCCTGCTTGGGCAGGGGGGTGGGATGGGTGAGCTCCGGGGGGCCCTGCCAGCCCCTGCCAGGCTGGGATTCTGTTTCAAGTGCAGCCCCACACTGAGGCAAGGGGAAGGGACTTGAACCAGCTTTACCACAGAGGAAAGTGCTGCACCGCTACATCCCAACATGAAACACAACTCCCTGGTGAATTTTCTCCGGAATTAATTATTCTGTTGTTTGAGGCTATGAGGATGGGGAACGTCTTTTTAGTAGGGCCAGCTGTGTTAGGACAAGGGGAAATGGTTTTAAACTAGAACAGGGTAGGTTCAGGCTAGAGGTAAGGAAGAAATTTTTTACAGTGAGAGTGGTAAAACACTGGAACAGGTTGCCCAGAGAGGGGGTGGAGGCCCCATCCCTGGGAACATTCAAGGCCAGGTTGGATGGGGCTCTGAGCAACCTGATCTAGTTAGCAGTGCCCCTGCTCACTGCAGGGGGGTTGGACTAGATGACCACTAGTGGTCCCTTCCAACCCTAAACATTCTATGATTCTATGATTCTATGTTTGTCTCTTCATTAGATGGCTCCCTAAGAGGCTCATACCCTTAAAGCCTGCAGTAACTCCACCATGGTATATCCTCCATTAAGTAAGAATGTAAGAATGCTGCAGGAGTTGGTAGAAGCAAATGGGAGACAAGGCTACAGGGCTTTTTTCAGGAGTAGATGTGATGTGCAGAAAGGAGATTGCTGCCTACTTAATCTTCACTAGCTCGAGCCCACACTCGGAAGAGAGCATTGTAAACCACATGATCCTGGCTGTGGCTCTGTCCATTTGAAAAAGCAACCATTCCTACACCTCACAGCATTAGCATCAGCTAGATGTAGCTGCCTATGGTAATGAGTACAGGCTAGTGAAAAGAAATGGGCTGGAGATTGAGCTAGGCCAAGGCAGCAGCTCACAGCAATGCTTCGGACCAATTCCCAGTTCCTACGACTCCATCGCTGCCAGGGCCCAGGATCTGCTCATGTTCTCAAGTCGGGATCAGGTGGGCTAAGTGGAAAGGAACCCTTCAGCGCAGGGGCTGCAGAGGCAGCGGGGTGACCAGAAAAGAAGGGGAAGTTTCTTTCTCTGCTCCAGCTACTCAAGTTTCTCCCTCTGCTTTTGTTGGGAGCGGTGCTGTTGATGAGAGGACAGCACTTCCCACCAGCGCTGCGTCTGTCTGCAGTTTAAAGGAAAGCACACCGCGCCGGCCGGCTGAGCGCGATAGCTCGCTGTCCCCTCTCCGCACAGGAAGGTCCCCTGGGAGGAATCATCTCAAACAGCCCATGCGGCCTCTGTGTTGGATAAATGAAAGGAGGAAACAAATAAAATGCAAAACATTTATTTGAGTGTGTTGTACAAAAAGTTTCCAGTCATAAAATGTATATTACAAATCATTGAAAAAGACAAGACGTTTGGCATGCATATTCTAAAAAGAAAAAAACACTTTGAAATGATAAAGTCTAGATCATGACGTAGTTTTCATAAACTCCATGTGAACATTTTCATCGTTTTCTATTTCAATTCGCAACCTTTTTCACAATTCCTTATTTTAAAATCTTGAACCTTCCAGAAACTTGTCTGCAGCAGCTGACTGGAGGTGGTCAGTTAAACCGACCACTGACCTAGAACCAGTGCTACCTAAATAAAGATTGTGTTAAGAAAAAAAAAAATAAAAAAAAAATCACAATTCAAGTCACAAGGCATCACTGTTATGAAAATAGAGTTCAACTGAGAAGGTACTGTTGTGCCTAAATGGAAAGCATTTCGGCTTAGGCTTGTTTAAAACAGCTTGTTGATTGTAGTTTTAGTGTAATGATGATCTGGGTGGCTGGAATACACAATCACATCTACCTTATCACTTCATTAAAAGCTAACTGGAAAATTCGGAACTTCAATAAAACACGTTTTATTTTCCTGAACTCCAAGTCAATTCACTGCTTGTGCTATTCTGAATGGAATCTTTCAATATTAAGCATCCTGTTCACTCTCTAGACCTTAGCATTTCAAGAAAGGCATTATGTTTACAAATAATAATTGCATGTAAATATGGTCTTGTATTAAAAAAACACTTTTAAATTATTTTAAACTGGTTTAAAGCTAAGCATATTGAAGGGCAAATAAAAATTCTGTTTCCCAGGCCATTTTAAGTGAGAAAAGAAACTCTCCAATATAATTTGTCTTGACATTCAGCTAGAACAACGCTTTGAAAAATGCAATCACCATCTCACCTTCCACTCACTGGTTTACAACAAGGCTCTGTTTCCTGCTCACACAGAGTTTGGACCCAACAGTGGCAATAAAATCCAGTATCGAATATGGATCATGCCTTTGTTTAGAAATAAGACTTTCAAAAGAAGATACGGAGAGGAGCGAGAGAATGGCTTAACAGTGAGAGAAGTGGCTACAAGAGATCTAACACATACGGCATGCGTGTTTTCATACAGCATCAAAATCTTTGATGCACACGGAAGAAACAAACTGAAATGTCCTGAAGCGTAGAGAGGATTTTGCAAACCTCCAACAACCCGTCGGGTTGCAGTTAAAGGGCCTTTATACAGAATGAGCATTAGAAAGAAAAAAGGGTGTATAAAAAAACCCCCTGTGAGATCCCTGAACTGAACATGAGGTGTCCCGTTGCTCAAGGATAAACATGCACGTTGGGTGATCTCCTTTCACAGTACGCTCTGCTTCACGCCGCAGTACGGTTTTCATGACTAATGCAAGCTGCAGAGGAGCTTGTCCAGCTTTTACATTCCAGGTCATGGGAAGCAGAACTTTGTTTTTTTTTTCCTGAGACTTTTGGTTCCTGCAACAAACACAAACTGCACCAGCCAGCTCCTGTCTAATGGCAAAAGGGTGCTGAAGACAAGCGATCGATGCATCGGCGTAAACTATTGGTTTTGTCAGGGCACATCTAGAGTCCCGAACTAGCCTAAAGAGGCACAGGGGGAAATAAAGCTGCGCAGCAACAAAGGAATCACAGCCACTCTGTTACTCGGAATAAGCCACTGCAACACAACAGCTCAAGTACCAAATACAGAAGCGAGGGAGAAAGATGTGGCGTGAAGTGTGGGAGGCTCTCGGTAAGTGGATCTGGCTCTGTGGGACGCCATGGTACCGGTGGTTCTGCAGATGGATGGACTTGTTTGACACAGGCATTTTCACACGGTACAAACTTCAGAGTAGGTAGCAAGCGTTTATCATATTTTATATGATATTCTGTCACGATCCACACAATGCAAAGATTGGCTTAACTATTCCGCTGCATTCCCGCCCTTACTCCTTCCCCCTCTTAACCAGTGAGAACCATTTAGGAATAATTGTTACTATTTCATCCAGAATAAAAGTGTTTGCTCTTTTTTTTTTTTTTCCCTGGAATAAGAACATCTGCCTGGGTAGTTACACTCAAGTAACTACTCTGATAAAAGCTATAGTGGTTAATTTCCCTAATCAGAGAAGCCTTAAAAGATTTTTTTTTTTCCCTGACAAGTCAAGTCTATTTCTCCTTCAAGCTCTACACCTGGTATCAGACACCGGAGTATAAACGCTGACTATCCTCCAACTTCAAGAGTGGTTCACATACAGGATCAAATAGGAGAAGAGGGCAAGGGGACACTGGATTTTATTTGAAAAAATAAAGCTTTAATTATCCTTAAAATAAAAAAAAAATCCTTGAAAGACAGAAAAAAAAGAAACAATGCTTTTTGGTTTGGTAAAGCAAAAAATCAGACCAGTGTGGAACATCAGCTTTAAAGGGAGGGTGCTGTTACACTGAAGCTCAGCGTCAAAAGCAAGAGGAAAGGATGGCATCTGGAGAAGACACACACACAGAAGTATGTGGAATACAGTAGTTTTTCCTGTGTCTTGTAATTTACAGCTAGGAATTTTTTCTCATGGTTTCAGTAGCCTTTTAGAAAGCTCTGTGGTGGCAATGACCCACATTTGGACTGTTGGCGTTCAGCTTTTCCCACAGTGTCAATCACTGTTTTAGATGAACACCTGTAAACACCTAAACATGGTACTGAAGAAGCAAACGAACTGTTTCCGAAGTGAAAGGACACAGTTCCATATCTAAGGAGAAATTCTGCAGGCTGTTACTGAAGGGCACGGTGCTCACAGCCAAAGATCTGCAAGCACCAGTCCTGAAGGCTATGAGAAGACACGTTCCCCATACAGTAGCTGGTAAGAAAACTATGGCTCAGGTAGCAAGAGGTTTTTCCTCGTTCAAGCTGCCTTTCCTAGCCCCTTCTTTACAGAAGAATTAAAAAAAAAAAAAAATCACAGAAAAAATGCAAATGAATACACATTCATTGCTTTAGTATTTAAGATCACAGAACAATCTTGAATTTATAGGACAAACTTAAAGAAGAATAAGCAATCTGAAAACTGGCCAATGTAAAACAAAAATAAATACAGATCTTTAGAGAAAAAAGCAAAAAGCCCTCAAACATTATCTAAGTCATAGGAGCTGTGGGTCAGAAAGGGAAATTATGTCCAGTGGTTGGAAGGTGCATTGCAAAAATATTTTTTACACTGATTGCATTCATTTGCATAACAACAAATTTAGAAAAGGTAATCGATAACAGTATGTCTGAGAAACATAATTTCACTAGATACATTTTACAGAGAGAGAGAGAGAGAGAGACATGATTTACTACGCATTTAACCTTCTACTCAAGCAGAGTGGGAAAATTACATTAGAAAAACGGCCAAGTCCATCAATAACGTCATCCCGTTAACCCCAACAGCCAAATCTTCATACTGTTTTTTTGTACTGGATCTTCTGATCATGGATTAAAAACGCAATTCTAAATTTCTACTAGTTTAACTTCAGTAATTCAGTCATCCCACGCAAATAGAGAAAAGTAGCATCTTCGATTTATTTTTAAATGGCAAAATAAATCCGTAAGCTTAAAATCCCCCTTTCATTCCCACCCTGCTTGCATTACAAAGCCATCGGTCAAAGCCACTAAACTGACTTCCTAGGTTATATCTGTCAGTCACAATACTGTTCAGAGAACATAATGTCCAAAAGCCACCGAAAACATCCAAACCTTGTAGCTTGTTTGATGAGTCTAAACTATTTGAGTGACAAGATCAGAGTTCAAGAGTGCAGGTACAAACAGGATTCTATGCTGGCATCAAATGGTATCCAAATTCTGTATCCAAACTAGTAACTAGTGGAAAAAAAAACGCATTTGCTTGTACAGTAGCCAATACATTCTTTGGAGCTGTCAGGTATTTTTCCTAGTGCTTAAAGATGCACCGCGACAGGAATACTGACCCTCCTGGGAGTCAGCGGTATCTCCACAGAAATGCAGCAGAAGAAACCTTAAGCTAAAAGGGACACTGTCACACACCAAACGCATCATACCGAAATAAAAGTCACCTGCTGCTCATACAAAGCATTTTTTGTAAATAGAATTATTCTCCCTTCTCTCACTGTTGAGACTTTAACATCTGAACGTTGCAAAGCAATGCTTAATGTCCTAAAGAGCAGCAGTTCCTTTTAACTTTTTCAGAAAGTCATTAAACTACTTCTGTACTATTTTGCAAATGCTGCTCCTTAAGGTGTCTGACAATGCCCCTTTGAATATACAAGAAGTCTGAACAAGCTGCATCTAGCTCTGATTAAAAAAAGTCAACATTTACACAGGATAACCTTTAAAATCCCCAATATTTATCATTGCCAAAAGTAAAAATATTTTTAACATCTAAAATCTTAATAATTCTGTCTTATGCTGAATATGTCAAACACATTAAACCATGATGCTTAACGCCATAAATACAGTACAGCACAACTTGCGGCCGTGATTTAACAAGGTCTTATTTGTGACAATGTCAAAGTCCCCTGAAAAAAAAAAGCCCAGTTAAACTTCTGGTTTTGACCCTTCCATACCTTAAGATGGTGTAAGCACAACCCATCCTTCTCCATCTTCTGAAATAATGATACGGAGCTAAGGTGCTGACAGACTCGGATGGTTTTACCACTAGGCTGTCAAATCCTGGGGTAGGACAAGATGCCATGGTCCTGAGCCAGGAGCGTCTAAAATGCAGCTTCCTTGTGTTGCTTCCACTGGTGGAGTAGCATTTTTAATTAAGTTGGGGTCTAATTTTCCTAAGCTGGGCACTGCTGATGATACCAGGCAAGACACTACCATTCCTTTAAGTATGGAGGAAACACGACTGTGAATCTCTCCTGGGGCCCTGCAGATGAACACACGTTCTTAAGCTCTTTTTTTTTTTTTGGCAGTTATCCTGGTTATACATGCAATTATATATATGCAATTATAGATTTACCTTACACTCAAGGAGCCTCATCCCATTTTAGCTAAAAATTTCTTTTCTGCTGCAGGTTTGTACATAAGACTTTAAACTCTATACGGGGAAAAATGTTGTATTCCAATATAGTGTTTCAACAAAGAGGGAAAAATAAAGAAATCTATTAAAAATTCTGGCAGTTTTGTTCAGTAAAGGTTTTTTTTTTGAATTTTTTTTTTATAAAAGTGTACCAAGGAGTAAACTTCAAAGAAATCAGATGATGCATATAAAAATAGTTTTCAGTGGCTCTGGAGGGAAAAAAAATAGCAAAAATAAAAGGAAATAAATGAAAAAAATAGCAAATAATAGTTTCTTTTTTCTTTCTTCACATCACTGAGCATCCTCTAGAGGTTGTTCTGGGATCCCCCTAAAATAAGACAGACATAGTTGAACTCAATTCTTACTGGCTTTTCATATTGCAAACCTGGACCCTGGTTATCATCTCAGTTGTTAAAAGCATTTTTTTTTGTGATTTAGTTCTACTCAGGGAACACCACAACTATAAAGCACAGCACCCGTCACAGTCTGCTGCCAGGACTAAGACATTGCCACTCTGGTGGTGGTTTTCTATGATGGGTTGTTTGGTTCATCTCCGTACTTTCAACACTGATACAGATGACAAATGAAAATCATGACGTTGTTCGCTTTAACAGGAAGTTCCTTCCTTTATTTCAAATGGTATTTGCATTTGAGAGGTATCTATGCTGCATAGCTGCTTCTATGGGTAAAAAAATTTAAAAAAATTTTTTGTTTCGGTTGCTTTATACCCCAAATACACCGCTCAAGCTCCTGGAAGCCAAAAAAGATCTCAGAAGTCAACTTCAAACCTGCACAGAATGAGTTCTTTGTGAAAAGAGCTACTAATGGACACTGATCACAACAAATCACTTGAGTTGGAAATAAATTTAAAACATTTTCTGCTATCACCTGTATCTTTCTCCTTTTCACTCTGCCAAGTGTCAGTCGGTTACTTCACACAACTTCATTAAGGGTTTTATGAAAACATACAGGTGGTATTACCAACAAAAATCAAGTTTATTTCAGATGTAGCAGGTATATACTATCAGAAAATAAACCAATAATTTGAAGCTTGCAGCAACAGCAGCCCTCCTCCTTTCCTGCTTTTTAGTGCTTACATTTCCCAATGGTTACATTCTGCTTGCAGCAAGAATGCCACAGACTTTTTTTTTTTCCAGAGAAGCAAATACTGGAATGGGAGGAACATGAATGGCTAAAACTGATCTTACGAACCCTAAAAATAGTTATGTCATTGCAATGCTGTAAATCTGTGATCTGTCGCATCCTTCCATGGACACCTTGGCATCCTGACCGGACATTAGCCACTGCCTGAGCTGTACTGTTTCTGATTTAAGCAGCAATTCCTGGAAGAATGGCTCCCGCTATACTCTCCCTGTGCATTGCTGTAGTAATGCTGCCGGAATGCAAGCGTCTCTTCCTCTGCAAGCATCCCTTAGAAAAATGGACCAGGGAGCTCAGAGCTGGCAAAAGTTGAAGGCACACCCCTAAATCTTATGCCTGATTAATCCATCCCATAAGGCACAAGTTACACATCTGGGCTGCATCTTCTTACCTGTTGGTTGAAAAGGTCTTCCTCTCCAAACTCTGCTTCATCCTCTTCCTCTTCGTTCTCTCGCACAACTACTGATTTAGTAACACTTCTCACTGCAACTTCCTACACAAATGGACAGACAAGGAGATGGCCAGTAGTCTACACCTATCTCAAGTTCTTGCTATACCATCAATATAATACCCCTATTAAATTGTGGAGGGTTTAAAGCAGCTCGCCCTTGATTTAACATCAGCTATGCGAGCAAATACTGGTAATACCCTGCAAACCACAGCAACATTCCTACTTCTGCCCACTAAAAGGCATGGTAATGTAATTTGACTTCAGGAATTTTCTTTCATTACCCAGGGATTTGAGAGGAAGCAGCCGTGTTTCAGGTGGTCGTTACTCAATTTTATACAAGCTCACAGCAGACTCAGCTCGGAGCTGTCTGACACATTGTAATGTGAGAAACTGAAGTGTCTCAGAAATATTCTTAATGCTGTGTAATCATACTAATTTCTCCTCAATATTCTATATCAATTGCATATATCAGTTATCAAGACAGACTTCCAAACCAGGCACTAAAAAGAATTCTAGAGCCCCAGGAAGCTTCCTTTATTACTAAATTAATTTTAACACTTCTTAATTGTGAGAAGTTCTTCTGTACGCTGGCACCCTTGAAACCATAGGTGGAAAATTTCTACTTGTGGAAAAAGTCACCCTGAACATATGCTTCTAAGCAAGGATACTAAAGGTAACCACAGTGGGAACAGACGTGGATTTGAAATTTTTTCAGCTGCTAGTTTAACCACTTTATTTGACTCCTAAGCCAGTTCGCTTTCTATATGTACAAATGACCCCTGCTCCTGCCTCGTCCTGTGCTGCTGTTCCTGCACAAAGTGCTTTTCCACAGAGTTGCCAGCAAGAAAAGCAGTGAAAAACTCATACAACTGTGGTCTGTTCCACTTTCCTATTTCTGTCAGATCACTGGGATAACAGCACATTTATGAACAACAGCTAAAGCACAATCCTCCCTTGCAGGAGCCTTCTGCAAGATGGCTTTAAAAAAAAAAATAAATCAGTGGTGGGCAGATGTAGAATACACAGGAACCTGTGCCAAATGAAAGCTTCTGATATACATCCAACACTGAAAGGGCAGCTATCTTCCTACGTTAATATTTACATTGCACTCCAGAATATCGTAGGTACTATATACTGTAATTTTGAATCGCCATCAATACTTATTTTCTTTGTCTCTTCTGAAAATACATACTCAAATTCCAAACAAATTTGCTACTAGCTGGGTGTTTTTCTAAGATGGGGAAAAAAGTCTACGGATGTAATCAGGATGATGATCACAGTTTTTGAAAATTTCCCAAAAATCCCAGAGATACGTGCAGATTATTTCACTGTTATAAATTCTTATTTTAGAAAAAAATAGGGCAGATCTTAAAAATGAAGATTTTGTCATCATCGCCCTCTCCCCCCAGATTAAAGTTTGGGAGATAACCCAGCCCACAGCTTTTTTCTACAGACACAGCCTACCTCTCCTTCAGAGTTTACGAGGTATGTGCGGATATTTCCTCCGGTGCCCCAGCTGCCTTGATTCTTCCACACGAGAACAGAAGGGGGGCTGTGAGATACGCCTGCATCTGCACCCCAAATCTAGTGAGAAAGACATTCTGTAATTAGCATTTTATGCACATTTTATTTTTAAATATACAGAACCCCCTAATTCTCCTACTTTTCTCTATGTACCAGGTTTTTTTCTGAATTCCAATGGCAGTTTTACCCTGCTTTTACCTACACCATTACTTGCAGTAAGATATTATTCTCAGTCTACAACAGAAAGTAGCACTAGCCATAAAAAAAAAAGAAAAAAATTATCTGCAGTTAGCAATTTTATAGGCAGCCAATTATTTTCTATACAAACTTCTCCTACCACTGTCTCAGTGACTATACTGTATTGAGCCAAGACATAAAATGCAGCTGTGTATCAATTTAATCTTTTATATTTATCTGAGCAATTGATACTTAAGTAGAAATAGCTGGAACTACTTCAAAGAAAGCCAGTTTTTCCTTCTGAAAGAACACCTGTTGCAGACTGAAAATAAAATACAAAATTATAGAAAAGCAGCTATTCTACTACAGTTTAGGCTGAGAATGTCTAGTCTTAAACTTAACTAAAGTCTACAAGACTGAATGAATGCTCCGAAATGTTCCTATTTCATGAAAAGATTGAACAGGATTAGCATTGCAAACCTGGGCAAAGGTGTTTGAAAACAAAGAGCCCTTGACCCACTCCCCTAAATACCTTTTTCTTCAACTTTCTCTGTGCCCCAAATGGTCTTAAATACTGAAGTACTAATACAGAAATTCAATTTTTTTCTGCATTTTTATAACTGAAAACCTTCTCTAAAGTGAGATCCATGAACCCAAAATATACACACCAAATCAGGCTGCACCAAACATCAGATTTGTACAACTGCCGCAGCATCCACGAAGGAGTATTGTGTTGACATACTGTGAGTATAACTTACTGTAACAGTCTGCCCAGCTCTGAGGACATACTTCGGAGTAAATTTGTAAGCAATTTCTTCTCCATCTCCAATTTGTCTTTTCAGTCTCCAGTTACCCAAAGACTGATCCTAATGGAGAGAGTCATAAGGTTATTTAGGGTGAGCAAAACAGAGCAAACAGGCATCAAAGCTTTTTCTAGGTCTCTTTGTTATTAAAAGAATGTGAATATAAATTAATTTATGTGGTGGTTAGACAACTGCATTCTAACTTGGAAGCTTTTTTCTATACCCACTATTAGTCTAAAGTGTAAATCCCATCACAGAAAGGGCTGTCAGGCTCTGGAAGGGGCTGCCCAGGGAGGTGGTGGAGTCCCCATCCCTGGAGGGATTTAAAAGAAGGAGAGATGAGGTGCTTAGGGACAGGGTTTAGTGGTGGGATGGCAGGGTTAGGTTAAAGGTTGGACCTGATGATCTTAAAGGGCTTTTCCAACCAAAGCGATTCTGTGATTCGGCAAAACTTTCACACAAGTAAGTTCTGCTAGAGCCAGCAAGGCTATTTACATGAGCAAGGTACCAGCACGCATGTTCACATGTTTGGGACTCAGCTGTTCTCTTTCTTTTGAGCATGGAGCCAGACTCTTCTCAGTGGTGCCCAGCACCAGGACAAGGGGCCATGGGCACAACCTGAAGCAGAAGAGGTTCCAGTTGAACGGGAGGAAGAACTTCTTGACTTGGAGGGTGCCCGAGCCCTGGCCCAGGCTGCCCAGGGGGGCTGTGGAGTCTCCTCCTCTGAAGATCTTAACCCCCCGCCTGGACACTGTCCTGTCCCCCCTGCTCTGGGTGAGCCTGCTTGGGCAGGGGGGTTGGGCTGGGGGATCTCCGGGGGGCCCTGCCAACCCCGGCCATGCTGGGATTCTGAAAGTCCTGCAGCAAACATTACACTCATGCTAGCACACTGTAATGTTCAACTTTCCAATGCCCCTGTTAATTATTGCAGGATGCTGCATCTTAGAGATGTTGCTCCGGCTCTCCAAGCGACTCCACCTACTCGTGCTACAAAAGGCTGTGTAACATTTCAATTTAGCTCCTTGTTTTCTAGGAGTTCTGCAGACACTCACCTTCTCAGAGTTGTTCTTCAGCTGAACGTACTTGCCCTCCAGGTCTATCTCTTCTATGCTGATACTTCCTGTAGCTGAAGCTTGCTGGGACATTTGGAAGCTACTGCTACTACTGCTGCCACTAATACTTCCAGTGCCAATTCCGCTTGTTCCGCTGCCTGAAAACTCCTCTGTATCAATACGTTTTCTCTTGCCTCGGGAAGAGCGAATAAGTGAAGTGCTGCTACTGCTGCTGCTGGAGGTAGCCCGAGAGACTGTAACACGGGAGGAGGGACTCGGAGAGAGCTTCAACCTTAACACAACGAAGCAAGCATTTTACTTAACTCATCCAGGGAACCACACACAAAGCAATAATGCTACGATACACTCGGTAACAAGACTGAAGGCAGCCTCACTACGTGTGTCAGGAGGACCATGTATAAGAGA